AGTCCTGGGCGCAAAAAATTCCGAGACTAAAGCCCATTTTAGCTGAGGATTAAAGTTCTCTTCTCTCCTAGTGTCTGAAACATTCCAGCCAAATTAACACTCCCACTCCAGACGGGACTTTAACTATTTTATGATTCTGTACCACATCAAATGGAGATTAGATGGCGAATATCCATTTTGCAGCCCTATCTTGTATATGGTCAACACAGCTGAACATGGCAACCCTCCAAGACTTGAAGAGAAGCAGTGGCCCGGACCATAACGAGAATCCAAATGTCAGCCCAGCTAATACAGAGTAATACCAGATTAGGGCTTCAATCTCTTGGGCATGGCTGTGTCCAAACAGTGCTGCTGTAGAGTTTGAACCATCTGAACATGCTATGTCCAGTGGGAAACCACAGAGCCCAAAGTTGTTGCTGTAAATTGACGGGTCCACAAGTGTTTGGAGTTGAGAACCTGTTGGTATCTCACCTGACAGATGGTTGTTGGAAAGGTTTAGCAAATTAAGGGACATCAATTCTGAGATGCCTGAAGGAATAGAGCCAGAGAGTTCATTCAAAGATAGGTCAAGGGTCTCCAAAATCACCAAGTTACCAATGTCTTTAGGAATACCGCCAGATAGATGATTTCTTGACAGGTTTAGGAACCTGAGACCCACAAACTTTGTAAACTCAGGAGGAATGTCACCAGAGAGATAGTTACTTGACAAATCAATACCTGTCATAAGTGCAATGGGCAATGGCTCCTTCAAAAGTATGATATTGCCTCTTCCAGTTTATGTTGATCCGCTCAGTGTATATATATGACAAGATGATGTAGAATTTGGTAGCTGATTTGCAGAGGTATGTTGAATTCCAATTTTGGTTGCATCATGGATGTTAGATTGGAGAGATTTCTAGGGATGGAACCTATAAAACTGTTGCCTGATAGATCAAGCAGCTGGAGGAAAGAGAGCTGTGATAGCTGCCAAGGAATACTCCCATGGAGCATGTTTGACCGTAATATGAGCACCCTTAGCAAGGGATTGCTAAATCCTATCCATGAAGGAATTGTATCAGAAAACTTGTTCTCACCAAGATCCAGAATCAGCAGCCTTCTGCATCGCTTAAGGACATGTGCGAATCCTCCATTGAGACCGTTATTCGCTAGGTGCACTGATTCTAGTGATAAATTGAAGTTCTTTGACATTTGGACATTCCCAGAGAAGGCATTGCTTGACAAATCAATGAACAGTAGATCCTGCATGTTCCGCAAGCAGCGGGGGAGTTTGCCATATAACTTGTTGTTTGATAGGTCCAAGATTTGAAGACACGACTGTTGACAAAGCACTATAGGAAATACTCCAGTGAAGCTATTGTTTGCTAAGCTGATGGCAAGCAACTTCCTGGTGTTGAGGTATGGTATTACATCAGAGAACTTATTGTTGCTAATGTCGAGGAATTCAAGGCTCTGGAGGGCTGAGAGGGCTTGGGGCACCTCACCCTCTAGCTGATTGGTGTCAAGATCAAGGGACTCCAGTGCCGTCAAATTGGCGATTTCTAGCGGTATTTTCCCAATGAGGTTGTTGCAGAAGATTCCCAGAAGCACAAGACTTGTTAGATTTCCAACTGAATGCGGAATCGGTCCAGTGAAGGAATTACATGACAACATGAAACGCCACAAACTTGCTACTCTTCCAATCTCCACTGTGATTTTACCATATAAGTTGTTGCGGTGGAGAAACAAGGTCTGTAGTTTGGATACGTTGCTGATCTCTGGAGGGATGCTTCCAGCGAGGGAATTGTTCTGTGCGTAGAACGATGTGATCTCTGGCCAATTCATGAACAGATCCGGAGGAATGACCCCAGTGAGCTTGTTTCTTGCCACATCGAACACCCGCATGTCACACATGACACATGTTGGAGAGCGACCGTGGTATCGAAGCGTACAATCCATTGGCGGACAGGTTGAGGTACCTCATCCTTTGGCTCGTCGACGGTAGGGTGTCCGGTAGCTCCCCGGACAAGCTGTTCTGCGACAGGTCAAGGTACGTCAGGCTGGAGATGTTTGCTGGGATGCTGCCACAGATGTTGTTGCGGAGGTCAAGCTTAGTGAGCGCCGAGAATGCAGCCAAGCCTAAGGCACTGAGCGTGCCATGGAGGCCAGCGCTGGGAAGGCTCAGCTCGGCGACACGGCCTGTAGCGTCACACATAATGCTGCGCCAGGAGCACGTCCGCTTGGTAGCCAGCCATGAGAGCAGAGGGGATGATGGCTCGTCCCCGCCGTTGGCCAGCAACAACGTAGATTTCCACCGGAGAAGTGAGCCTGCTTCTTGCTCGGTACCATGGGATGTGGATGTGCAGAGCAGCAGAAGTAAGAAGGCTTGCAGGAAACTTCGATTTCTTGTTTGGAGCACCATGGCTAGATGCTGCAGGTTCTCATGTTCTTGTCCACACGCGCAATAAATGGATCTGCTCTTTGAGTGGATAAATCAAGTCAAGCCTCAATAAATTCAATGGCAAATCCTAATGGCAGAGTCAAGGCACGTGGGAGCCTTAGTCCGGTGTTCACACAACAACCTTGACAGGGCCCGTTTGGTACTGTAGCGGCTCTGGCTCCACCCCCAATCCCATCAACCCAAAATGAAGCCGGTGAAGGCTGACATGCAGTTCTATTATTCCAAAGCAGTTTTTTTCTTCACGGACTCCTACTACAGTATCACACCACTAAAGGACATGAACATGAACATTGGTGAAGCCATAGCTAAAGCCATGCCAAACAGGCTCGAAATCTTCGCCCTTGTGTTGGGGCTGGTGACATGTAAAGCCTAGTTTAGCTAGGTAAGTGTCATGGTTGTACTAGTTATCAGGGAATTAAGTTGATGAGCCACACTATGAAGTTATGGGAGAGAGTCATCGAGCAGCGCCTGCGAGGAACGACGCAGATATCAACAAACCAATTTGGTTTCATGCCCAGAAGGTCAACCATAGAAGCAATCTTCTTAACAAGACAAGTTATAAAGCGGTTTAGAGAGCAAAAGAAGGACATCCACATTGTTTTCATTGACTTGGAAAAAGCTTATGACAAGATACCAAAAAATGTTATGTGGTGGGTTTTAGACAAACATAAAGTACCATCAAAGTACATGACCCTCATCAAGGACATGTACAACAATGTTGTGACTAATGTTCGAACAAACGATGGCAACACAGATTACTTCCCGATTAAAATTGGATTTCATCAAAGGTCAGCCTTAAGCCTATATCTCTTTGCCTTAGTAATAGATGAGATTATCAGGAACATACAAGGGGATATCCCTTGATGTATATTGTTCGCTGATGATGTAGTGCTAGTAGACGAAAGCCAGGCGGGAGTAAATAGGAAACTAGAGTTATGGCGGCAGATCCTTGAGTCTAAAGGTTTTAGATTGAGCAAAACTAAAACCGAATACATGAGATACGACTTTGGCGAAGCTGAACAAGAGGAGGGAGATGTGACTTTGGAAGGTCAAGTAGTGCCTAAGAAGGATACCTTTCGGTATTTGAGATCGATGCTACAGAGGGATGAAGATATTGATGCGGACGTTAACCATAGAATCAAAGCAGGGCAGATCAAGAGGCGACAAGCTTCTGGCATTCTCTATGACAAGCGGGTACCACAAAAGTTAAAAGGCAAATTTTATAGAACAGCGATTAGACCGGCTATGTTGTATGGAACATAATGTTGGCCTACAAGGATTCAACATGTTCAACGACTAAGTGTTGCAGAAATGTGTATATTGCGATGGATTTATGGTCACACAAAAATGGACCGAGTTCAGAACGATGATATACGTGATCGCCAAAGGGTAGCACCAATTGAAGAAAAACTTGTCCAACATCGATTGAGGTGGTTTAGCCATGTCCAAAGGAGACCTCCAAAGGCACCAATGCATTATGGAGTCCTAAGCCAAGCTAATAGTATGAGGAGAGGTAGAAGAAGACCGTAATTAACATGGGGGAGGCAATAAAAAGATATTTGAAAGCTTGGGATATACCTAGAGATCTATGTTTGAATAGGAGTGCTTGAAAAGCAGTTATTGAAGTGCCTGAACCGTGACTTGGGCTTTTGGTGGGTTTTAACTCTAGTCTACCCCAACTTGCTTGGGACTGAAAGGCTATGTTGATGTTGATGTTGAATTAGGCACAAGGAATAATAGATTGATTATGGAGGATATGATGTTACACATATATAGGCAAGGATGACCTTAAGGTTTACAGAAGTAGAACTAATCAATGATGATACTTGCATAATCAAGATCAATTTATCTATCCTAGCCATATGCGTGCTAGGCCCAACAGGGGCGCAGAGGCCCAGCAAGAGGAACCAGACGACAGTCCTAGAGGCTGCCGTACCCCTTTGTCTAACAGTTATGACAAGTAAATGCACAACTTTCATGATTTAAGTAATGTACTAGCAGGTAACCCCGCGCTTCGCGCGGGCAACAGTGGACGCTGTGAGGACAAAAAAAAAAGTGGTACTGTTCCTTATCGGGTCGGATACTGTTCATCTGATCCGTTACTGTTTATCTACTGGAATCTGGGCGAGGGCGCGGCCGATGAACAGTAACTGCGCCGTGACTCGCCTCAAACTAATAGTCTTTTATAGGTTACTTGAACCTACTATGTAATACAGTGTGCAGAAATAAGGAGGTTCCTGCAAATGTATAGGCACATACCATGATTTTTCAAAACTTTATCTTTGGTACCCATTTTTTAGAATGAGCATATTCTTCTCCCTACTACTCGCATCTTATAGTATTTGACAGGATGAAAATAAAATAATGCCTAGGGAAGGGATCATGATTTATTCTAAGTTTTGTCTGACACAAGTCCAAACTTTTGCAAGGGCTGCCCAAACAATTCTTTTGAGTAGATATCTATCTTGTTTGCACCTTACAACGAAAAGTAATATAAAATATGAAAATGGCCAACATGGGAAATTTATGGATGAACGGAATACAGAACTTCTGAAGCAAATGCTCATAACCTCACCTTGCAGGTAAGTCCGCCGTTTTGCAGGCGGGCAGCCACTGCAGGAGCCCAGCTGCCAAATGCAGCAGTCAAGCCCTCTGGGTTGGTATCAGTAATCCCATCGACTGGTGGCTCTCCAAGCTTTGATATAGCGAAGTAGGCCAATACCTGGTTTGCGTCCACTAGGCCCTTGATCTCGAACCATGGATCCAGCATTCCATTCTGGAAGAACACAAAATCTGCTGCGATATTAGCTCACGAGTCCCAACATGCAGCAACACTACGCAAAAATGGTACACAATGCTGTAGTTAGCATGCATAAGATAGAACCATGGCAGATCACTTTTTGATAAAGTGACTGGAAGCGAAGCCACACTAGAAGGAACGCTTCAGAATCGAAGTAAATGCTCATCTAGTGACAAATTCATATCAACGTGACCATCCTATGAGGTTAGTTTCTTCAAACTACATTGATGGCAGAGATTATTTACCAAACTTGCATATTTCAGCAAACGAGGTTCTATGTAATGACACCCTGAAGCTCTTCTGGAATGTTCACTATCCAAAATATGTGCTTGTGAGTGGATGCACATCGGATCTAACTGTTAGAATTTAGAAACAAAAAAAAATGTTACATAATTTCCGAGTTTGCCAATCCATCAATAATCACTAGCTCAACTGCTAAACCTTCCATTTGTAAAATGGATCCAACCTCTATTTTTTTTTTGCGGTGGTGGGTGGGTGGGTGGGTGGGGGGGGGGGGGGGAATTGTGTTCTTGCCCTGTCCGTAAGTCTAATTATGATTTTATCCTTCTTTTTTAACTTTGTGATTTTGACCTTGTTATTTTAAAACGAATCATCCGTTTACCCCTAGTTTACACGTCCGTTAGATGGACTGAAATAAATAAATTAAAAAAAATCAAAATCCCAAAATACACAGGCTAAAAGACCGAATTGCCCCTTATCTTATCTTGAGCCTCCTGCTCGTCCCGACCCACGGGGCCAAGGCGGATCCCAGCCGCGGTGCTCGGTCACAGGCGGAGCGGCGGCGGTGCCCGGCCGCGGGGCGCGGCCTGCGCAGGGCAGCGGCGGCGCTCGGCCCAAGCGCGTGGTGCGGGTGCCGTGCGGCTCGGCGCACAGGACGGCAGCCGAGCGGAGCCGGCGGCGGCAGCACGCGGGGCGGCGACGACGCGTAGGCCACGGGGCGTCAACGCGCGGCGCACAGGACGGCAGCGGCGCGCGGGCCGCAGTGCTTCGGCGGCGCACGAGGTGTCGGCAGCCTGCGGGGCGGTGGCGGGGCGCGGTCGTAGGCAGCCCATCGCTGTGGTACGGCGTGCTTGTGAGAGAGAACCTTCTTCTCCAATGCACATCCTCATAGGAGTGCATGTGCTTGCTGCCATGGCTAGCAGCTTTCCCGTTATTGTGCTGCTGGTACCTGTACGGCACGATGTCCATGCACCTGCCGCTGTCGTCGTCGTCGAGGCTGCTCTCCAGTTCGAAGTTTCTTGACTGCTTCTTGGTGGAGTCCCATTTGCCTGTTGCTGTGTTGCACGAAGGAGATATGTTTGGCTGAGATCATTTCAGAAGTATTATCTCTTCATGGCATTGGTGTTAGGGTGATCTCGTAACGACCGATGGATTCCTATTGTTGCCGTAATGCTATTAAAATTTTGCTAAGATGCTACTAAAATTTTAAATATTTTTTCAATATTAAAAGTGATTTAAAATAATTATAAATTGTGCCAAATTTATTTGACCAAATCTAACCATTTTTTTTGTTAAAATACAATATAAATGTCTTGTTATAAATCAGGGGTTAAATCACATATAGCTTTAGAAACTAGGGGCAAAATTACATGTATATCTTTGTTATTTTGTATAAAAGTTAACTCGGATGATGGAATAGGGGTAAAGTGATGCTTCGTTTTAAAAACACAACGATAAATCCATAAAGTTAAAAAATTAAGGATAAAATCATAATTTCAATACAAAACATGTTAAGAATGCAAGAGCCCTTTTTTTTTTACTTACACTAGCCAGCCCAGAACAGCTTGGCTAATCCAGCTCAATTTGTTCAGTATTACAGGCACGGTTTGCCTAAAATGCAAGCCCGATGCAAAAAAACACGCATAGACAGACCTGATGGCACACAAGCAGCGGCACAGAACGAACGCGAACTCCAACGGGCAAATGCAAGCACCCACCCAAAGCACATCGGCCGGGAGAGCACAGGCAGACGAGGTGGGAGCAGTTGGAGAGCACGTACCGCGCCAGCGCGACTTGGGGGTGGCCTCGAGCACGCTGTCGAGGTCGTCGTTGCGCGTGCACACCAGTATCGGTCCGGGTGCGTCGTCGGACACCTTCTCGCCGCGGCCCACGAGGACGTCTCCTCCCGGAGGGCCCATGGACAGCAGCGCCTGGCCTACGCGGCCGCTGCCCATGGCCGGCTGCACCGCTGTCGTCGCCATCGCCGCGGAAACCCTCGCGATCCTGCGAGCCGCCGCGCGGCTAGAAGAGGGGGAGCAGGAGACGGCGGAGGGGAGGCGACGGCAGCAGCGGGGTGACGAAGACGGCGGCTTTGAGGGCCATCTCGATGGGAAGTGGACAAGCAGTGTGGAGGAGTGAGAGGGGGAAGTGACGGCGTTTGTTTTTGGAGCTAGGGTGCCGTTAGCGTGGTAAACGGGAACCACCCGATTTGGGATGCGCTTATCTTGTCGGTTTGTGGTCGAGGTATGATGGGCCGTGCCGTACTAGGCCTGTGACATGGAATAGGCTTCCTCACGTACTACTGCCGTTGTCTGATTTTACGAGTTTTTTTTTCTTGAGAGAGAGAGAGGGCCATGCTCTGATTTTACTCACCTGTACTATTGTCATTGTCTCATTTTCCTTCTCAAACTTTAAAAACGGATACCATTTCACTCTAGCTCATTTATCTATATTTATATCTATATCTATATCTATATATCTCTTATAAACAAAACTCACTAACTTTAAAGCTATGTATGTAAACTATCCACATGTCATATTCCAAAGTGTAACATCATTCTTCAATATAAATGCTACATCATCTTTCACTAAGAATAATCACTATTTTTAACCTATCAACATACAAAGCATCCATGCCTTCATATTGGTTTGGCCATTACATCCTCCTATAGTTTGATCTAATATATCTATAAGCGTGTTATTTATTCTTTTCATTAACTTTTTCTATTTCAACAACATATCTCAGTGATGCAACTATGCGCAATTATTCTTCTAGTTTAAATTAGCTTGATGACCAAGTATGCAGTGATTTTCTAGATGGTTTCATCTTTTTAGTTCAAAATATTTTATATACATGATAAGTTTTTTAAACCATGAAAATGTATTTAAGCTTCTAAATTTTTATGAAAAAATTCAGAGATAGAATGATACAAGAAAAACCAAAGTAAAATATTTACAGATCTTGAGAATATCTCTAGAAGCTTAAAAAATAGATTTAGCTCTAGGAAAATAGGAAAGTATTCAAAATATCTATAAATTTCTCAAAACATTATAATCGATGTATAAAATGTGTTTTGAAAACTTTCCACAGCAAAACTATGATATGCAATGCACATAAATTTAATGTTAAAATGCATCCAATCTAGTTGCATCCCATGTTTTTGTTTTGAAAAGTTTTCAAAAACATGTTTAGACATCAATTAAAATGCTTTGAGACTTTTTTATTTTTTGATATATTTCATTTTCGAGAGATAAATCTAATTTTTTGGAAGCTTTTAGAGATACATTCATGAGTTCTAAATATTTTTATTTGGGGTTTGTCTGTCCCAATCTATAATATTTTTCTTTGTCCTATCCCATCTATCTTTAAGATTTTTTCTTGGAATTTTTAGAAGCTTAGAGATATTTTTCATGGTTCAAAAAATATTCTAGGATTTTTTTAAAAAAAATTTAAAAACAAAATGAGACCAGTTCTAACTAGGATACGGATGTAATTTAAATGGTTATGACAGATGAGGGGGTAAGATGTCCGGTTTAGGATTTTTGTCACACAGCAGTTTAGAAAGGTAAAGTGATGTTTTTATTTTTTGTCAGGGATACTTTTCTTGTACATATTGCCTTTTAATTATCTTTTTTTGTCTTCTTGTCTTCGTTTTTTTCTCTCTATCGCTCTATTCCTTAAATCTTTTCTTTTGTCAAAGATCATGCCATCTTCGTAGAAAAAATTGCATGTCAGTTCATGTACTTTAGAAATGCCTCTTTTGAGATGGGTGTCTTGGCCTCTCTCACACATAATTTCTACTACACCACTTATGCCCCCAAAAAAACATTTATGTCCGAAAATTCAATGCTGGAGCGTGATGTTGCAATATATGGAGCTACTGCTCTTAAATCCTGATAGCCACAAGAAGCGTGTAAGGTTTGTTGTTATGAAGGTAGTAGCAATGCAAGCGACTCCTGGTGGGTGTTTCAATCTTTTGTTAGCTGGAATAGCCACTACCTCTGCAGGTAACTCTGGTAGTCTAGAAAACCACAAATATCTGTGACGACATAGAGCTTTGGTCTTTGGAGCATACGTGGAGATTAGGGCTATTAGCCACAATGGTGCTTTGGGGCTGCTCTCCGCTCTCGGTATCCATACAAAAATCCATTTACTAGATGACATAGACAAGGATAAAGACAAAGGCGTAGTAGAAATGGCGCTACAGCTTGGCACTAATTCAGTTTCCTCCGTCAATAGGGTGACGATATAAGATTTCGCGTGCCATCAGTTTAGTCTCGTGGTTCAATTGCAAGTCTTTTTTGAAAGGTTCCATTGCAAGTCTTGCTTGATACTGTACGAGATAAGGTTGAGGTTTGAGGGTGGCAGCTCAGTTCAGTCAGTTGCACAGCACAACGGATGATTCCCAATCCCATCCATAAAAGAATAACTGGTCACGCTCCCTCCCTGAATCGCCCGCATGCCGGCCATGGCACTCCGGACGAAAAGTGCCGTACCGGTATCGGATACGTATCCGATCAATATGTTCTCCGGCATGGTACCATACCTCGGCATGAGGAAATTGCTCGCCATCTCCTTGGCAAACAATAGCTTCACAGGAGGATTTCCCCTGTCATTTTGTCGTCAGGATTCTCTCAAAATCATGGACCTATCAGAAAACCAATTATCTGGGCAAGTCCCTCGCTGCCTGTGGAGCTTGCAGCATCTATTGTTCATCGATTTGTCAAACAATGCCTTCTCCGGGGTCGTGCGAGTGTCCACAAGCTCCAATTTGTCACTTGAATCAGTGCACCTGGCCAACAACAATCTTATGGGAGGATTCCCTCTAGTCCTCAAGAGATGCAGGAGAACAATTCCTTCATGGATAGGATCTAGCCATCCATCGCTAAGGATCCTTTGATTACGATCAAACATGTTCCTTGGGAACATTCCATGGCAGCTATCACTGCTCTCTTCCCTACATCTGCTGGATCTGGCAGGCAAGTGTTTGGTAGGTTCTATACCAAGAGGTTTCGCCAATCTAACATCCATGCAGCAGCCAAGAACAGAGTTCAACATACCGTTGGAAGTGACCTGCCAAATTTTGCATGAGTCTGTCCTTTGAACGAATCAACGTAAACTGGAAGAGGCAATACCATACTTTCGTTGGAACCATTGCGCTTCTGACAGGTATCGATCTGTCAAGCAACTCTCTATCCGGTGACATTCCTTCAGAGCTGACAAAACTTGAAGGTCTACGGTTCCTAAACATGTCAAGAAATCGTTTCTCCGGCGGTATCCCGGAAGACATTGGCGATTTCAAGAGTTTGGAGTCTCTTGATTTATCTTGGAATGAACTCTCCGGCTCCATCCCTCCAAGCATCTCGCAGCTCATGTCTCTTGATTCGCTCAATCTGTCCAACAACCATCTATCAGGTGAGATACCAGCTGGTTATCAACTCCAAACACTCGCCGATCCCTCGATTTATAGCAACAACTTTGGGCTCTGTGGGTTCCCACTGAACATAGTATGTTCAAATGGTTCAAATTCTGCAACGAAGTTCAGTAGAAACCACCAAGAGCTTGAAGCTCTAAGCTGGTATTACTCCATATTAGCTGGGCTGGCATTTGGACTTTGGTTATGGTTCGGAGCACTGTTTTTTTTTAAACCTTTGAGTGTCGATCAAATCTGATAAGGGCACACAAATCCGATAGGGGCACACAAACAACCTTCAGCATTAGTTTGTATGATTAGTAATGTAGCAGCTCCTCCAGCTCTGTATTTTTTTTTTCTGTTATTATTATTGTTATCTTGTTACAGCTCTTATTGTTTAAATAGAACTTTAATCCTGTTCACCGCTGATTCTCTGAAAGAATGTAACTCATTTACTACTTGGTTGAATTAAGTTACAGGATGAAACCACATGTCTACGGATTTTACAACCACTCTGATCTACCGGTCAAAACAAGAACAAGCTGGAAACGATACCGCAACAGCAAACAATCATGCTCCAGGTTGTCACATTTACATCAATAATTCACTAAAATTAACAAACTTCTCAGTGAACAGTTGATTATTAATTAATTAAGATCAACACTAACAAAATTATTTGCTACTTAGGGATCAAAGGGTACTCAGGTTGCACGGTACCAAATTAACTGAGTCACATGTCACACGGGAGACAATACCAAGATCTCCTGGACGAATTACAGGCGCCATGGTGTTTTTAGCACACCATGGTAAAAGAACAATATAGACCTACCCCAGTATAACAGTTTCCACAAACTCAACACTATCACTATTACTCTATTAGATTTGCCTCTACCAGTACAGTAAATTTTGTGGTCCAATAACATCAGCATGAATACAAACCACCCACCACCAAAAATATACAGATTCATGGTATGAAGAATAAGACCTGTGACCAGACTGCATATAAAACTCAATAATTTGGTCTTCCATCAATTAGTCTCCAAAGTCAGCGGAATTTCAACTTTCCATGTTGCAGCACTGATCTTGCCTGGCACTCAATCCTCTCTGCCCCTGCCAATCCAGTGCAAGCATCTGATGCCCCCAAGGTTACTGCAAAGTACAGATAGATAGTGCACAGGAAGGCAAGCACAAGAAGTGTTGTCAGGAGGAACCGGTGCCGCTCAACCAGTGCAGACCAACTGTCATCACGAGATGACTGAGGCTTTTTTGCAGATGATACGAAGAATGTGTTTTGGGACCTCCTGTGAGGAGATGATAATGAATCAAGAACCATGGTGGTAATGTACTGGTTTGTTTGAATCCTGTCCAAAAGAGACAAGAATAATGAGCTAAGTATTTTCAAGCTCTACACTCAAGAAAGATTGCTCAAGTGAATAAACCATCAGTAGCTCAAATCAATCACGAACATGCTAATATGCTGTGAGACTTTGGTGACTCGACTAGAACTCAACAGACAGTAAACAGAGCAAACAAATAAACTATGTTTCACATCTGGCTATACAGCTCCATTTTGGAAATATGATATGCACATATCTAGAACCCGAATCATGCCACATAGTAGATAATCATTTACAATTTTACTAAACAAGCACTGTCTTCTTTGATAATATGGGTAGTTCTATATCCATTTTTGAAAGGGGAAACATGTCACTCTCTGATTCAAATATATTTCAGTGTATGTTGCATAGTTTATATTTCACAATTCACAATTTTCTCCCCATTCTTAAATTCAAATCAGAATAATATATTAAGAGAAAAAAAATCTAAGGAGCTATAGAACACACAGATAAAAACATCTGGCTAAGAAAGTTTCAGTACATTTCTTTAGGGAAGGAGAGGATCTATTTTGTGATGGACAGAACAGAAAGGGATAAGAATGATTCAGGTTACTCCAACTCATCGATGTTTGAGTAAACAGAAAACACAATGGAACTGGAATTTCAAATAATGATTGCTGTTTGAAATGCCTAATTTTGCTGGACTTTCCAGTCCATGAAAAAACAGAAAAGAAAATCTTTCCACTGTCAAAACTGCCAGCAGAACCTTAATGGATAATCATCATTTCTGGAAAAGAATTATAACCTACTGTATCACATCAGTCATAAAAAAATTCAAAGTTAAAGAGAGTCTGAACATTAATGGACAAGCAACATTTCTGGAATCATCATCACCTATTGTGCCACGTGACAATCCAAGGCTCCTAGGCATAATAAGTTAATAACATCAAAACGAACCAGGATCTATTACTAGAACTCTGTACACATTGAAATTCTAGTAAACCACTGGGTGCAACATCAGTTCATCACAAAAGGCAGCACTAAAAGCATGTGCAAGCATACAGTTTCCTGGCACAAGCAGCATGGTTTAATTGTCACATAGGAGAAAGCTAGTTCATTAAGTAAAGAAACTACAAGAGATAGTGCATGTTCCCCACCTCTCTGAATTCCAATAAATCGGAAAACATACGTGATACCAAAATAAATCTGGAGCCCAATATCACTTTTTTACAAGTGAGGGCCAAAAGTCCATTGTATATAAGGTAACTGGGCAGTGAGCACTAAACTAAAGCTCACATGTTTATCCATGACCGCATGAAAGGCCAAAAACATATATTAAAAAAAATTACCACAGCTACTATCCTGAAAGAAATTAGAGGATTAAAATGCGCTACTATCTATATCCTTGCCCGGAGCTTTTGAATTGTGGGGATAAAAAAAAGTCAACTAAAGTTCAGGTAGCACAGTCTTTGTTGAGAGTGGGATTGCTGAAGTGGAAGTGCAGAACGACACTGTGCAATACATAGCGAAAACGACTCCTTAATGCGGCACTATCGTGGTCCCTATCGCAATGGAATCCCAGATTTTTTTTTCTGCGTGTTGAAGGCTGAAACAAAAACATCTAAATCAGTTCTTTTCCCCCTAATGGATCAAAAATCCAGGCCAGAAGCAGAATAAATTGGCAACTATACTGAGAACACATGGTATTACGCACCATCTATTCCGATTCACATTGACCCAAATTGATAATTCTGATTTAGTTTGAAGAAAACATTTAACCACGGAAGCATTAATAACGACTGAGGTACATTGGAGGAACGCAACGGGGCAAATCTGTCAGCCACCGTCATGACCCAGCCCAGGAGGAAGATGGAGTATCCAGGGACCAGCCCAGGAGGACAAAGGCCCAAGAAGCCAACCCACGAGTCTATGGCGAGCAGTGGCTTGAATGCTTGCACGCAGCGTGAAAGGGCGAGCCTCTGTAATGAGTATATGAGATCGGCGAGAGGAAGAGATCGGACAGGCAATTGAAAACATTAAACTCCATTCCTGAAGTAAGAACTCCTCCGCGCTCATCTCCTGCCCCTTCTTCCTCCCCACGTCTGCCTTCTCCTTCCCCGGTTCCTCCCAACTCCTACTGCTATCGCTCACAAGTGGTATCAGAGACACCGGTCCTCGGCACCGATCGATCGTCTCGAGCACCTTATCCATCGATTGCTCGAACTCCACTGGATTTGGTTGGTCTAACCCCGAATCTAAGCTGTGAGCTGCAGTTCAATTTGGGGATTCCGTCATTCCAATCCCGGAGTCGCAATTTGTGGCGTGCGCCGCCGATCTGGATCCTGCCTTCCTTTCCACCCACGAGCACTACACCCGTCTTCAACGCACCCGTGGTGTCATGGGTCCCGACAAGAAGGCGCTGCTGGCCGAGCTCGATAAGCGCTTTGCCACCCAGGAGAAGCGATTCGATGGCCTAGAGCGGAAGCTCGATTCTACCACAGCGTCGTCTTCCACCCGTCTGGATGCCTTGGAGTCTGCAGCCAAGGTGTTCGACGAATGGCGCCCAGGGGTCGACGGCGTCATCGACGACCTTCGCATCGAGGTCAACAAGCTCGCAACATTGAAGCTTGAAGTGGGGAAGATCTCCAAGTACATGGAACGCTCGATGGTGGACGGCCCGTCAGTGACTCCCGGGGTGTTCGCGACCGCGCCCGCCACCAAGTCCGCGTCGGCTCCCATGTCGCCATGCGCGTCGATCCACGACGCCAAGCCTGTCATCACTCCGAACTTCAAGTCCGCTGGCTTCGGCGGCTTTCAGGCTGCCCCGTGCCCATCTGCGGGATCTGCAGCCCCTCGGCCCAACAGGCACCGCGTCGAAATCGTGAACCGGGAAGGTGCATTCGGAGTGGTTACCACTTTGATTCCACCTCCCGGCAAGGGTACGTTTCCTTGCCATCCTCTTTCCCCGCATCCGTTACCAAGTCCTCCTCCACGCCCACCACCACCACGTCCACCACAGCCACACCCAGGAGGTTATTACGAGTCCAGCTATCAAGGGGTTCTGGGGGCGGCCTTACCGGCAAGCTTCCCAAGTTTGATTTCCCTAGGTTTGAGGGGGATCATCCTAAGTTGTGGATCAAGCAAGCCGTTCACTACTTTGAACTCTATTGTGTTGAGTCCGTGGTTTGGGTGCAGGCTGCCACTATGCACTTTCATGGTGCAGCCAAACGTTGGCTCTCTTCAGTTGAGGATCGGCTTGAGGCCATCACTTGGTCCGAATTCTGTTCACAGTTGCTGTTGCGCTTTGCCAGGGATGAGCACGACCTGCTGCTGCGTCGCTTATTTCAGATTCGGCAAACCGGCCCTGTCAATGAATATATAGATCAGTTTGTTGCTCTCGTAGATGACCTGAAAGCCTATACCAAACACCCAGACCCACTCTATTGTACTCAGCGTTTTATTGATGGCTTGCGTGATGAAATCAAAGCTGTTCTTGTTCAACGTCCATCCACTTTGGATTGCTCAATTACAGGAAGAGGCGCTGGGACTCAACAAGCGGCCTACTCGGCGTTTTGATACATCACCTGCTTATAAGCCGGCATGGCCTAGTGCCATGGCTCTGCCTCCACCGCCACCGAAGCTTGCTGATGGTGAGAGTAAGCGGCTGCCCAATGCTCTTCATACCTCGGTTGAAGACAAGTTCAAAGCCTTACGGGCCTCTCGCCGCGCCCAGGATCTGTGCATCCGGTGTGGCGCAAAATGGAGCCGTGAACACAAATGTTCAGAAATGGTGCAGTTACACTTGGTGCAGGAATTGATGGATATATTTCCGAAGTCCGATGCAGCCGAGTGTTCTGATGATTCATCGCCTGAAACTCAAATTATGATGCATCTCTCGGTGGCTGCGGCAGTGGGCTCAGCTTCCCCTAAGACATTTAGCCTGTCTGGAGATATCCAAGGTCATCCTCTGTCTATATTGGTGGATTCCAGTTCCTCTCATACTTTCTTGAATTCTGCATTGGCTCAGTCGCTCTCGGGTATCAAGGAACTTCAGTCCCCAGTTCAAGTACAAGTGGCTAATGGTGCCATATTACAATGCACATCATTTTTGCCCGGTGCTCGTTGGTTTGTGCAGGGGTGTTCCTTTTCAACTGATCTCAAGTTGTTGCGTCTCTCATCATATGATATGATCCTTGGTCTAGATTGGCTGGCAAGGTTTAGCTTGATGCAAGTACACTGAGCTAAAAAATGGATCTCCATTCCTTACGAAGGTGCTACTGCTATGTTGATTGGGGACACTGTAAACCTGCCGGTGGGTTCCGTAATTCAACTCTGCTTGGTACAGCTTCCTGAGTCTTCACAGTCAGTCTCTTCTCTGAACCCGGCTGTTTCGGCTTTGATCGATGAATATGCCCATCTATTTGAGTCAGTTTCAGGGTTGCCTCCCAGCCGGCATTGTGATCACTCCATTCCCTTGATGTCAGGGGCTCAACCGGTCTTCGTACGGCCTTACCGCTATGCACCTCTTCTAAAAACAGAAATCGAACGGCAAGTCAATGATATGCTTCAGTAGGGCATCATTCAGAAGAGTACAAGTGTGTTTGCCTCTCTGGTTCTATTGGTGAAGAAAAAGATCGAGTCGGAGGTTTTAAATCGATTCACAAATCAGCCCGAATGCCATCACAGTTAAGAGCAAATATCCAGTTCCTATCATCGAAGAGTTGCTGGATGAGCTGTCCGGGGCAGCTTATTTCACAACCTTGGATTTACAGTCCGGCTTTCACCAAATCCGCATGAAATCCGGCAAGGAATTCAAAACCGCCTTCCAAACCCACTTCGGGCAATTTGAGTTTCGGGTTATGTCCTTCGGCCTCACCAGAGCCCCGGGCACCTTCCAGGATGCTATGAATACAACTCTTGCTCCCTGCCTTCGGAAGTTCGTGTTGGTCTTCTTTGACGATATCCTGATCTATAGCCGAACATGGGAGGAACACCTCATGCATTTACGAGCTGTGTTTGAGTTATTGTCTAAGGATCGATTGGAAAGGCTTAAAATGTCAAAGTGCTCCTTCGCCCAAACCAAGATTTCTTATCTCGGCCATGTTATTAGTCGGTCAAGGCGGTACTTGATCCTTCCAAGCCGGAGTCTATTGCCTCTTGGCCTACTCCGAAAACTCGATCAAAGAACTTCGTTCCTTTACGGGGCTCACTTAAGTTATTATCGGCGTTTTGTTCGCCACTTTGGAATCATTTCAAAGCCAACGACAAATCTTTTGAAGAAGCATGCCCTGTTCATTACTATGCTTTTCAGACATTGAAAGCTGCCCTCTGTCAAGCTCCGGTGCTTGCTCTTCCAAATTTTGCCAAGCCTTTCTCAATTGAAACTGATGCATCTGAGTCGGGTGTCGGTGCGGTCCTCATGCAAGACGGTCACCCCCTGGCGTTCTTCAGTAAAGCGTTGGGAGCCAAGAAACGTGGTTTATCAACATATGAAAAAGAATTCATGGCGATTACATTTCTTTGTAACCGTATGCGTCCTTACTTGCGCTTTAGAGTTTGTGCTCCTCACCGATCGTAAAAAGCGACCACATGTACTCATCGATCAAAGATCGCATACTCATTGGCAAAGAACGGTTTTCTCCAAATTGTTGGGTTTACAATACCGTATTGTGTATCGCTCAGGTTCTGATAACAGAGCAGCGGATGCATTGTCTCGCCACCCCTCACCTCCAGTTGTTTGTGCGGCAGTAACTTCTCTGGTACCCTCCTGGGTATCTGCGATGATTGCTAGTTATCGCGAGGACACTTTTGCTACTACTTTGTTGACCAAATTGGCTGTTGATTCAGAGGCCATACCTCATTATTCCCTACAGTCCGACTTACTCCATTATAATGGCCGTGTCAAGATTGGAGATGACCCGGCACTTCACCAGCAGCTTATTGCCCAATTTCACTCCAGCTTGTGGGGCGGACATTTTGGAATACCAGTGACCTATATGCGGCTGAAGCAATGTTTTGCCTGGCGGGGTATGAAAACTGCAGTCAAGGAGTTTGTGCAATCCTGTGCTGTATGTCAGCAATCCAAGTATGATCGATCCAAATCTCCAGGCCTATTGCAGCACTTGCCGGTTCCTGATTCGGCATGGCAAGTGGATTTCATCGAGGGACTTCCATTGTCTAATACATTCAACTGTGTACTGGTAGTAGTTGATCTGCTGACCAAGTATGGACATTTCATTCCCCTCCGTCACCCTTTTACTGCTGCCAGCGTTGCCAAGTCATTCTTTCATAATGTTTATCGCTTACATGGCCTTCCGAGCTCTATTATTTCTGATCGTGACCACATATTTACCAGTTGTAACATCCCGACCCATGGCTTAACAGGATTAATATGATACTCATACCAATAAGTTGCAACTTCTTTTCCGGAAGCCCATCTGCAAATAACTCCGACGTTAAGCGTGCTTGGCCTGGAGCGATGGGTGACCGACCGGGAAGTTCTTCCCGGGGGCGCATGAGTGAGGACAAAGTGCGCAGAAAAGACTAGTATTGGTCTGTGAGGGCAGTCTATGTCCTAGGAAAGCTATCAGATGTAAGCGGGCCTGGCCTCGGAGAGGTGGGACGTTACAGAATGGTATCAGAGCCGACTCTCGCGGTTTCACGGCGCGCGCGTGTCGCGATTCTTGAGCATGGTGCGCATGGTCGATGTGGATCCGGCGTGGTCACCACAAGATGGCACATCTGCCGCTCTGACACACCTGGACGCGGCCAAGAGAGGGCGCTCCTCGGCTTGGGATTGATCGACGAGGACGTCGATCTCTTAAGGGGTGAGGATGTAACATCCCTACCATGGCTTAACAGGATTAATATGATACTCATACCAATAAGTTGCAACTTCTTTTCCGGAAGCCCATCTGCAAATAACTCCGAGGTTAAGCGTGCTTGGCCTGGAGCCATGGGTGACCGGCCAGGAAGTTCTTCCCGGGGCGCATGAGTGAGGACAAAGTGCGCGAGAAAAGACTAGTGATGGTCCATGAGGGCGCCTATGTCCTAGGAAAGCTATCGATGATGTGGCGGGCTGGCCTCGGAGAGGTGGGAAGTTACACCACCACTTTTGGTCCGAGCTTTTCAAGATGGTCGATGTGTCACTCTACCAAAGCACCGCCTATCACCCCCAATCCGATGGTCGACGGAGCGGCTTAACTAGTGCCTAGAGACCTATTTAATGTGCTATGTCCATGCATGCCCCAACAAATGGAGTCGATGGTTGCCATCTGCGGACTGCAGTACAATACATGCTTCCATTCGGACATCGATCGTTCACCCTTTGAGGCGTTATATGGATATCCTCCACGCCTCATCGGGTCGTTGACCCTTCTATTGTTTCTCATCCGGAGGTGACCATCCGGGCTTCCGTCGTCCGGTGGATGGACCGGCTCCTCCAACATCACCTCAACCGGGCAAAACATCGGATGAAGAAACAATCCCGATCAACATAGGTCGGAGCGCACTTTGCGATTGGTGACTTCGTTTACCTCAAACTGCAGCCGTATGTGCAAACTTCCCTGGCACCTCGCTCCCATCACAAACTCGCTTTTCGCTTCTTCGGCCCCTTCCGTATCCTGGCTCGTGTCGGTTAAGTGGCCTACAAGCTTGAATTACCTGCTCACTCTGCCATCATCTGGTTTTTCATGTTTCACAACTGAAGAAAGCAGTTGGTGCCGCTCATCAGGTAATCCCAACCCTGCCTTCTGACTTTGCCTTCCATTTGGCCCCAGAACAAATTCTGCAGATTCGCATGGTGGCCCGTGGTACTTCTACTATCCCTCAGGTGCTTGTGAAGTGGAACAACCTGCCGTCGGCTTTGGCGACATGGGAGGACTTTGAAGCTGTTCGCCAGGAGTTTCCTCGAGCCACTGCTTGGGGGCAAGCAGTGTCCCAAGGGGGAGGGGATGTCAGCCACCGTCATGACCCAGCCCAGGAGGAAGATGGAGTATCCAGGGACCGGCCCAGAGGACGAAGGCCCAAGAAGCCAAACCCACGAGTCTATGGCGAGCAGTGGGCTTGAACGCTTGCACGCGTGAAAGGGGCAGAGCCTCTGTAATGAGTATATGAGATCGGCGAGAGGAAGAGATCGGACAGGCAATTGTAAACATTAAACTCCATTCCTGAAGTAAGAACTCCTCCGCGCCCATCTCCTGCCCCTTCTTCGTCCCCACGTCTGCCTTCTCCTTCCCGGTTCCTCCCAACTCCTACTGCTATCGCTCACAAAATCCTAGAAAGAAATCGTTAAAATAAAAACCGACTGACTGGAAATGTAAGCGGAGGTTTGGATTCCAGCGCTCTCACATCAAAGAACGGGGAGAATCCCGCAGGCCGAAACGAAACGAACAAGCAAGGCCATCCTATCCCTGTCCGAACCGGCGAAGATGACTGGAAGGGGAACATACAACCCCATTCGGATCTCCACTCCATGCCAGAGGCGTCCAGCGTAGGGAGGGGGTGCGGACGCCTGCCGACGGGGAAGGAATCGAGGAAAGAGACGCGGCTGCGGCTGAAGGAAAGAAGATGCATACCTGGATCTGGATCGGGGTGTGGCCGGCCGGCGCCGAGGGCGGTGGGGGAGGCACTGCGAGGTGGGGGACGGAGCGGACGCGGCGGCCCTTGGAAAGGGAGAGAGGCGGGGGGGCCCGGTGAACCGTCCGAAATTGACGATGGCCGAGGAGGGGGGAAGCCCGGCAAAACTACCTCTGAAATAGGATTAAGATGGATGGGCGTGTCCACTCGCATGTGTATATCCTTTTACTATGGCCTTGTTTAGATACCCTTAAAATTCCAAGTTTTTTCACTCTTTTTCCATTACATCAATTTTTAGCTGTTTGTATGAAACATTAAATGTAGATAAAAAAAATAACTAATTATACAGTTTAGTTGGAAATCACGAGATGAATCTTTTAAGCTTAGTTGGTCCACGATTGGACAATATTTATCAAATAAGACGAAAGTACTACTATTTATCGGGTTGAAATTTTTTTCAATCTAAACAAGGCCCTATTCTTTCCAATATTTTAAATCAGATACTATACGGAGATCTTTTCACAAATATAAACAGAATTTAATGACATTTGACGGTCGTTAATTTGGTTAATTTTAAATCAGATACTGTATGAGATCTTTTCATAAATATAAACAGGGAGCTTGCGTAGAGTGCCACAATGATCAAGTGACGTGCCCGCCACG